GGATTGGATGACATTTCCTCTCAAAATCGGCTAGCGCACTCTACATTGATGATGCATGAAAACCGAGCTTTTTATTTATAACATTGTAGAACTTGCTTCTATTCTTTCCAATTCTCATTCAGCAGTTAAAACATGCGAAATCAAATTATCATACTATGAACGTTGCTTGTTTGCTTGTAGCATTGAGAGAGCAGTGGAGAAAGCACACTGAACCAATTTGACATATTCCTGTTATGTGGAAGTCTAATAATTTTGCGCTATAAGATAATCCATTGAAAATGATATGATTGAAAATGTGTCAGGTAAATTCTATATGAATATCTGATACATTGACAATGCTGATAATTTGATAACTTTTATATGATTGTCATATGATAAATGAAAATCGGTCAATTTATAATAATTAACTGAAATGGATTTGAAACCCATAAGCATAAGCTTTACTTTTCACCACAATATAATATATGTGTCATAAATCAATCGAAGTAAACACTTGCTTCTATTCTTTCCAATTTTCATTCAGCAGCTAAAACATGCGAAATCTAAAAAATCAAGAGCAGTGGAGAAAGCACAGGTCCGATAATCGCAACGTTCGTGGTTCGAGTCCCCCCCCCCCCCCCATTCGGCAACCTTTTTTTCGACATGATTAATTTCACTCACTAATACACTCCACATTTCTCTTTCTCCATTTTCTTGCATTGGACTGCAGCGCGGTATACCGCCACCGATAAACCGACATGAAACTTAAAATTAACTCTTGATCGAGAATCCATAACGGCCGATTCAAATGTGCAGCGATCCCATCTGTCAAAACCATAGAAATTCTTTGTAATTTGTTTGATCATTCATGTCGGTTTATCGGTGATACCGCATCCTCCGTTCAAGCGGTCGTTTTCCGTTTTCGGAACCCAACTACTCACCGTAGATGGTCCCGGTAATCACCACAGAGAGCTACCCAGGTTTACACTCTTCTGGTTCGACCTGCCTAATCCCTCCTTGGCTCTTAACTGAGGTGGCGAGCCTGGCTCTACTGGCTGAGTGTGTGAGTGAGTCAGGACGGTGGGTGTTTTGGGGAATCCTTGGGGGTTAGCCGGGGAAGCACTTAGCTTTCCCAATGGCGGAGATCCGACACCCTTTACTTGTGCCAGAGTTCACGAACCTCGAGCCGACTTCTTGGGAAAAACGGCACTGCAACTTCTAGTTTCCGCTAAATCAGACGGGGCAAAAACGCCTCATGGTCGCGGCTACCCGAGCAAAGTCGGTTAACAAAATGAAAACAAATCGATATTAAAGTGTGCAGTTCCTATCATAATGAAAACTCATTTTGATTTCAAATGTCGCGACATAAGTCTGATATCATACTGTGCTTTCATTATGCAGTCAAGACTTTTTAAATGAAAGCAACTTAACTTGAAGTTCTGGGGAGAGAGGTAGCTCATCGATTCTTCCGGTTCGCCTCCTAGCATCGTGCTATAAGGTACCAGGCGATAACCAGGGTAGTTGATCGATAGCTCGATGACGTCATTTCGTTGGCGTCTGCAATGGGAAATTCTCATAGCAGGCGTTGACGATGGGACGTTGTCGAGTTTTTGAATAGCAACTATCGTGGTAACTCACCGATTACCTGTCGATCTGCCAAATTTGGAAAGACGTCTGCATTGAATTGTCTCATATAATAATATTCCGCCCACTATATCACAAGAAATTGCGAGTAGCTGAGTGGAATGGAGATAAGTTAAGCATTGGGTACAGGACCAAGTCTCCCCTGGGTGGTGCCAAAATATGAGCGCAATAGAATCATCAAGTTGCCATAAGGCACGGAATGAGTCTATTGCATGGCTGGGTAGTCAAAGTCTTCCATTCGTTAGTCATTTCAGGTGGATTAGAACAGGTTTAGGTTTAGAGTGGGCGTTGGCCAGATTTAGATTTTTCAGATGTAATCCTGGATAGGACCCTGTCATTGAACGTCGCGTGAAAGTGGAACTTAATGAAGGCCTAAGTACTTTTTCGTAGTTTTTAGTTTTCGGATTTGAAAGATCGTCGGTTACAGTGGCCTGCTTACTGAGCAGAAAAACGCGGTCCCAGGTCCTTACATATCAAAGAGATTTATGGTAAAATTGCTTGTGTATCGTTTATTTTGCGAAACACGTTGTTGTCGTTGGTTCCGGGTTTGAATGGATACACAAATTTGAGCAACGGTATTATGTGATATGAGGGGCTCGGTGGCCTTAGAGCAACCGTTTTTGCTTACTGAGCAGAACATCATGAGTCTAATCTCAGGCCCATCCACATTCAAGATCGTCAATCGTTTTATTTGTTAATATGACTACATGGTAATAACAGCAACTCGGTGATTAAAAAGGTGCTCGTCTGCCTAGTGGCAATGGTTTTTGCTTACTGAGCAGAAGACCGGGGGTTTAGTCCCAAGCTCCTTCGCGTTATATGATCGTTAGGACATCAATTCAGCTTATCGTTTACCAAAACGAACCCTGCTGCAAACCCAACCCTCTTATCCAACATCCCAGTGATTCCTCGTGGAAGTGCAGCCCTAATAAAAATGTTATGGTTAATTTGCTTAACGACGTGTTCGGGGTATCATCCAAACCATTTGGGGAATAGTTCAATCATTTGGGTTATCGTTCGATTATGGTAATTTTTTATTAGGGAGAGGTGTTCTCGGCTTTCATCAAAGCGAGTGTCATGTCAACACAATCCTTCCCGTTCCTTTCTTGACCTGTGTTCGGGCGCGGCCGGCGCTGGTATTGCCTAATTTAAGATCACCAGTTTTTACACATTGAGGATCATTGCTAGTCCCAAACATCGTCTATTGGTTCTCTGTGTAATTACAGCTGATCTGGCAGTAACAGAGTAGCAACCGTGGGCGGTCAATCAAGCTCAAGCAAGCTCAAGCTCAAGCTCAAGAAAGCAGCTTAACTTGAAGTTCTGCTGTTAACGTCTTGTTTAAAATTTAATTGAAGGTCATCTGTCGTTGAACTAATGATTATTGTTTATTTGTTTTATTTAACACATTTTAGGTCATTTGTGACTTGCCCGGGGTGAGATTTGAGCCCCTTTCTTTCAGCGTGAGAAGCATGAATGCTAACCATTTACTCCAGGCCCGTATTCAGTTAAACATTATGAATGCAAAATCAGTAATCAAATTGATTTCATTGAAAGCAGGATTAGTTTTCCGTTTGTTTCAACAGAGTAAAGTTTTGCTCTAATTTTTGCTGTGCTTTGCTGTTTGTTAAGTCAACCAAAATGAGATCAACTGGAGTATTCAAAATAAGTTACATCATAACAGCAAATTTTGATTTCAATGTGATCTCCAGCTTTGCTCGGGTAATGTGTGTTGATGGGTGCAATTGGCGTTAACGGTGACTCTGTAGCTCTTTACTCCTATGAGAAAATCCATAATCAAACGTCAGACTGCGTGAAACATGGCGAACTTTGTACTATCCTTTCACTCCACCGAAAATTCCCATAAGAAACTGTCTATTGAGTTCTCCAAGCAGGATCTCACGAACACTACACTAATAACATAATTTTACACACACTAGCGTATACTGGCATGTGCACGGTAAGAATCAAACATCCATTTATGAGTAAAAGTGAACCCATTGTCAATAAAAGCGGCACCACTAATTAATGAGTAATTCATTATGCCAATTAAGTAGTAACTGTTAGATACTGTTAGCAGAAACTCATTGTTGTTAAAATAATTTACTCATTAATGAGTAAAACCACCTTTATCAAAACTAGGTTAACCTTTACTCACAAAAGGGTACTTGACTGTTACCGTGCAAGCGTAGGGTTTGTTTTCGTTTTGTTGTTTATTTTTACTTTAGAATGACAGTTCTTACAGCAAACAAAAAATTTCTCACAGCTAACAAAAAATTTCATCTCACTAACACACGCAAATCGCACTAATACGAAACCGGCTGGAGAGGACTATGGATGTTGGATTTGATTTTTTGGTGGAAGAGCAAATTTTTCGACGGTGCCGTCAACGCCAATATCCTCCCTGCACATTCGATTGTCGGGACAGAGACCGACGTTAAATAAATAAATTAAGAAGAAGAAGAATAATAAGAAGATGATATTATAGATGTTTGGTTCCCCCTGGGTGCTAATATAAAATAAATTCTGTGTCCAGATTTTAACTGAACCAAGCATTTGCCTTTTTAAAACTACTATTTCTTGAAGTACAATCAATCACATTAGCTGGAATTTTGCTCATGTCAACAAATGAAAACAACTTTTTTTCTGTAGTCGTGTTCAGCACGAAAAAGTGAACATTCTTCCCACCTACCACAATAATTTGCTAGGTATTCCATGACAATAAACCGTCTACTATTTAAGTCCTTTCCATGTATTATGAGCAAGCTTGCAAATACTCATTACAGCTAAAATGCTATTTTTCGGATTTATGAAGCTTGCAAATACTCATTACAGCTAAAATGCTATTTTTCGGATTTATGAAGCTTGAAATATTTTAATGATAATTCTTATTTACAAGATGCAAGAACAGAAGGTAAAGTGTGTGTATGGGACATAAAACATATCAATTTAGCTTTCAGAGGGTCACAATAGCGATTACCTGTAACGATGAGCGAGCAGTCAGCGATCATAAAATCGCTAGTTGTGAACTTCTGAAAGCAAAATTGACAAATTTTATAAGTCATATACAATCTTTACCACCGTTTCTTGCATCTTACAAATAAAAATTATCATTATAGTATCCCATTGTTTCATAATAACGAAAAATAGCATTTTTGCTGTAATGAGCAATTGTAAGCCTGATTATGAGAATGGAGAAATTAAATAAAACACAAAAAACAGTTTTATGCCATCAATTTTATTCACTACATTCGACGTTAAAATAGATTTGAATAACCTATCAAATTGTACACACATTTCACGTAAGCTCCGGAATGATTGCAACCTTGTTAACATTTCAGCTTTGAGCGACTTTGATCGAATAAATAAAACAATTATCATTCAACAATAAATATTATCATTGGTCAACACTTTACAACCTAAAATAAAGTACAACTTTCACACTCTCTTGAACTATGTTCACGTCCACATGTAGGTCGGCATAATGCCTTCCTTGCTAGTACCCGGAGGCGTCAGAATCTCGTTACACAAAAATTTCAACGGCAAATCCACCAAATTCCCTTCGATTCGCTGCAGCGCTTTGTGGGTACCCTCCGGATCGGTTTGAGCTAGACTCTTCTCTTCCAAAAACTTTTTCAACATAACAAACGATTGCACATTGTCGGAGGGAATACAGCGGAAGATTTCATCGAAGAGACGGGTATTCTTCCTCGACGTCCATCGCCACGTTCCGTTCCAAAACGAGTCGATCACTGGGTCTGTTATGTCCACTGGGGCTCGGTTGGAGTTGGGTTCCAAAAGGCCTAAGTGTTCCTTGAACAGGTACCGGCGCAGTTTACCAGCAAAGATTCCGCACGGGTAAGATTCACCATTCATACGGCCTTCCTCGAAGCTTTCGTCCTAAGGAACACAGAAATCGTTAGGCAGGTAGATAGAAGTGGGTTGAATTGCAGGAGCTTACCGTGATCATTACGCAGACTTCTGAATCGCGCTTCCCCAGAAGCGACCGATCGTTGATGTTTGCTGAACCACAAATTATCACTTTATCATCTGCAATCAACAGCTTGGAATGAACGTAGATCAATTCCGTCACTGGAACACCATTCAAAAGAGAGTGCGTCCGTAAGCTGTGAAACGAGATGTACTCAAAGGGATTCTTGATTCCGGAAGCGTATAATCGCGAAAGCAAAGAGTTTTTACCCCTGAAATACTAATCAAATTAAGTACTTTGATCATTAGGTTGGAATAATACAAACATACCGACAGATGGAAGCATAGTTCCAATGGGTAATGGCTCTCAGAGAAATTCCGGTAGCACCTCCAACTTCCCCTTCGAATGCCGGAAGCAACGGCATCACGACATACACCCGGAATGCCTTCTTTTCCCGGTGAGCTCTCATTATTCTCTTGAACAGATACTCCGCAATCTGGTTCTTCACCGTAGGATTACCCATCTCCAAGCTTATGAAGAACTGATTCTCAATATATATGTAGTGCTGTGCCTTAGAAATGGTTTGAACGTAGGCTTCGTGGATACTCTGCTCTACGTGGTCCGACTCGATAAAGCCACAGTTCCAGCTGGATGCACTTCTCAGCACCTGGCAAGTCACGTGCTGCAGCGGGATGTTCAGAAATTGATCATCTATCCGGATATCATTATAGCTTTTCGGCAAGATATATGGATACTGGAGGTTCTCCCGACACTTTTCCAGTTTGATGGCGTTCCAGCGTTCAATGAAGTGCCGAGCAACATCCCGAGCTGCCTGGCCGTAGACCACGGTTGCAACGTCATGCCAAGGCATTCGAACGGTTGTTGATCGATCCACGAGATCTACAGGACCATAAAAATTATGGTTACTATGAATATCATACATTATGTGATCATTTTTAATATACTCACCTACGTATGGCATGTCCAGATTGGTGAAATCTTTCACAATGAAATTGATGTAGTCCTTCCCTATCCAGAACTTGGCTTGTCCATCTAGTTCAAATAGAACTTTGCTTTTGAATGGAGGTGGACTCATTATACCAACAGAAGACACATCCTTGTTTGGCTCCTTTTCCAAACTGTTTTGTTTCTTGTCATCATCGGATAGATAACCTGGGCTACCGGGACTGCTCTTCGCTCCTAGATTCGTGTCATGCTCATTCAAGGTAATCTTATTTTTCAGATCTCTTCCTATATCCTTTATTTTTCCCATAATGTTCTTCCGCTCCATTTCCGGCGTATCCTTCTTGATGTTCTCCGGCAGATCATCAGTTTCATTCTTCGCCGAAGACGCGAGCTTTTGTGCCGCCGCCACCAGAAGCTTATCCCCAGGTTCCAACTTCGGAAGATTCTTATCCACTTGATCCAAAGCCGTGATTTGGGCTATATTCCTGGTAGCTCTCAACAAACTGGCCACCGTTCCCCCTTCATCCAGTTCGACAACCGTCGAAGGTTTCCGAATCGTCGTATTGTTAACCGAGCTACAGCTGCTGCTCGAAATACTACCAAGGTCAATCAACCGATGCTTGTAGTCGTCCCAGCGACCATAGCAAAGGTCAATTCCACCAACGAAAGCGTACGTCTGATCTACCACCACCAACTTCTCATGATGCGCCCAGAAGAGTATACCAGCCCGAGCATGATCCGGGTGACGCAGAACTTTGATGTTCTCGTGCTGTTCCACCAATTTCTGCTTACTGTAGTAGCTGTTGATACCGAGAGCAAAATCAAGCTCTTTGAACAGCAGCACAAAGGTTTTGATTCCTTGTTCCTGCGAGAAAAAAAGAACAATACCATTAATATCCAACTGAACCAGGGCTTGTGAAGTTACCTTCTTTTATTATGGGAGGCATGGAATTCAAAAAATGAGCTGATTAATCGAATACTCGATCTACCAACGCTACTCACCGCCTTCCTCTTCAGAATCTTATCCAACCTCCAGTAATCCCCGTCGATGGCCGGCCGCTTCATGTGAATCTCCGGACTCAACATCCAATCCGTAATGAATATCTCCTCCGTTGCACCTTCCAGCGCATCTGCCACGGCACTCATGTAGCTAGCCCCGTCTACGAACCAGCTCGCCTGCATTCCCGGTCGAATCGGTGCAAACGATTGGTGCGGATTCGGCATCGTGAAATCCCTCGCCGAATCATTCGCCACCTTCTTCATGTGAGTCATCCATTCCTTTGCCGTTCGTCTGGTCGGGTGCTTGACAACCAAGTACCGCGTATTGGTCACAATCTGCAGCCCATTTCGCATGCCCGTACTGTACATTCCGGAGGAAATGTCAAACCCTTGGTCGAACAGCACCACACACCGTAGAACCCCATCCTTCGGTCGAAAGTAACCGAAGCAGGTTTCCTTCACGAAGAACCATCTATTTCGCCATTTGCTCCACACGACATCGGAACAGAAGTAGCTGCACCGGACGCAGCAACCTCCCGTCAGACAGCCACAGCAGTTGAAACCTGCTTGACCGGCTCGGGTTGAACCGGTGCGTTTCTTCACCAGGCCTTCCTTGCCCTTTTCGCCGAGAGCTGCGACGAAGGAGATGTGCGATACTTCCAGGAAGTTGATCTGAAATGGATTTGCTGTTTGTTAGGATTTTTCTCCGTGGAATGTGTGCCCTCAAAATGACCAAACATTTCAAAGATGCTTCATGCGTTTTGTAATTTCATAATAGCCATTATGTCCAGAATTAACTTTAACTTGTTTGAATTGTTGTGAATTTGAATTTCACAGGAATTTAACTATTAAAACTACTGCTAAATAACCTGTCCTTGACGGCGATAGAAATATTAAATTCTCTCCAGGATTTCTTTAGAATCGATTCAGATTCATATTCCTTTCGAATTCTTATCATAATTCACTTGAAATGTTTCAGAAGTCCTATTTTTTTAGCTTTGCTTTGAAACTGATGTCTGAATTTACTTGATGTGTTTGAGTTTTGAATATTTTTTGAACTATTCTCATAATACTCTGATTTCTTCTCAGAGATTCTTTTGAAATTAATTTGGACATTTCTTCTCTTCAGAAAAACCCATGTAACTCTTCTTATAACTACGTTGAAATTATCCAAAGAATTTACGTGAAGCTTTCCTCATAAATCCTTCGAATAGTATTTTAGAATTACTTTCTTGTCTTCTCGGAATTCCTTAAGAATACTTTTTTAAATTCCCTAGCAGTCGCCTTCGGGATGACCTTTAAATTATCCCAATTTTCATCGAAATTGCATTGTATTTGTTCAAGCTGTCTTGAACTGGACCCATGTTTTTTTTTCAAGCTCAGATCTCATGTTTTTCTTCAAGCTCAAGGTTTCTAAAAGAATGTCTTATTACAATCTATCACATTCCGAAATTAAACTTACTTAATTAATCAGCTAAATGGCGTTCATCATATCTTTCGAGATCTCGAATTTCAAAATATTAACTTAATTTTAGAGCTTAGGAAATTTGTTGCAGTTTTATAGTTAAAATTGTATTATCGATGCAATCAATCTTGAGGAAAGTCTCTAAAGAGAAACTTTTTATTGGCCATACTCTAATTATGTCATTGAGGGAAAATTAATTTGCTCTTCCAGCAAATATAGAAAGTTTCTTATGAGAATTTTCGGTGGAGTGAAAGGATAGTACTAAGTCCGCCATGTTTCACGCCCAGTCTGAAATTTTCTTATGGATTTTCTCATAGGAGTAAAGAGCTACAGAGTCGCCAATTAGTGCAAGAAAACCTTTGAATTTATACCCAAAGTTATCTACACTGATAAAAATCAAAAGATTGTTTTTATGTGTCCCACTCATGATTTTTTGCAATGTGATCAACAAATGATATCTATGTGTCGGTCGCATACTTAATATGGGTACACTTAAAAGCCATGTGTAACCACACATACTATTCATTTGACTCATACATTTCAGGTATGCTTCTGGGTCGATTCTGCCTATGTGTGGTCACATAAAAATCATGTGGAATTTTACATGGAAATTCGCCAATAAAAATGTGTGGAATTCTATTAGTGTACATTAAAAATGGAACCAAAATCCAAAATTTCATCAAATTTGGTACACTGGACCTTTTGACGTAGGACTACGTCTTTGATTTCTATATGGGGGTATACTTTGTGAAAACCGAAAATGGAACATGTAACAAATTAAGAAAGATTTTGAACGTTAATAACTCAGCTGCCCCTGGTCCAATTTCAATAATTTTATCACCAATCGATCAGAAATATGGCTACGTATCGATAACAATGCTTTCGAATGTCGTCAATGCTTTCAACAAGAAACTATTGAAAAATTGGTAAATGTCCAGCATTGTCCAAAAGCGTTGAATTAACTAAGAAATCCACCAATTACCTACATACATATGCTGCTTCCCCAGCACAGTCGTCAGCGAGTAGTAAGTAGACGAAACAAGTCGAAGTGGCATTCACCTCCGATCCTCGGGCGCATGCAAATAAGGAGGATGGAATTGCGTAATATTTTGCACACTCATCGCCATATTCAGAACCAAACGCAAATTCTTCGAGATAACTACCATCCGTCGTCTGGCTCGCCGTGGCGGTGTCTGACGTATCTCCGGTCTGATTTACGAGGTGTGCTGAAGGTGTTCCTGAAAAATGAGATCCGTGATGCTGTCACCTACACTAAACACGCCAAGCGTAAGCGGCCATGAAGTAGTTCGCCTCTTTGTGGTGTGTCCTGGAAACGTTAATTATCGAACCCAAGGGAGAGATATTGCGGCTAAACGAACTACAGCAGAGTAAGGACGCTGGATCCCCATCCAGCTCGTCCCAGGAGGTCGATAAGCTTGTTTGTCCATATTCAAAACAACAAGCCCCCAACGACCACACAAAATGCTCTCCAGAGTTGTAATCTTGTAACCAAACTTGGAAGCAAGGGTGCAAGTGATCTTGATTGATTCTCTTAATCAACTTTCTCTTTGAACAAGATTACTACAAATTTGGTACGCTTACAATTCAAAAATGGAAAGAGTTGAGATAATAGATAATTGATCAATTAAAGGAACTAAATGGTCTTCACATTTATTCCGTCCACTAGCGGTCCTACGTCAAGCTTCCGTTCGTGCCCCTAGGCACAGACCCTTTTACTTTTTTAAATAAGTACAATTACATTAGCAAAAATCACCATCTTAGCGTTCCTTGGTGGGACTTTGTATGGGAGCGAGCTGTCAACGAATAGATTTAGTGTCAACGATCAAAAATTTAAATCTTAATTTAAAAATCGAGATGAATGTCTACGGGATCGATAAAAATATCGTTGTGCTCAGAAAACGAAGCTCTATCATTTGATGTATAAAAATCGGTATATTTTTCGAAGTTCAACAACCCAATTCACAAACGTCAGAGAAGTCTATTGACGGCACGACAGAAATCAGAAGTTAAGCTCAAGTCGCCTACCAGGAAGAGTAAGAAGAACTCATAAACAGTGTCCCTCGTTAATACTTTGAGTGTAAATATAAAATTAATAACTGGCTCTCAGCTCCATGCACGCTCGCTTATTTTTTACTCTAAAGTGAGTAACTTCTACTCAGTTTGGTATTTTTATTCAACATGTCAAAAACTGAGTAACATTAATTTGCTAACTGAGTAACATTTACTCTGTTTATCTTAAATCAATGATTAAAGACTGGAACGCGCAAAAATTGGTCGACAAAAAATTGTTTCTTTCAGTCAAAATTCATATCACAAAAATCTTCTTATGTTTCTGTTGGTAGTTAAATTCATATATTTAAAGGAAAAAAACGTTCATTTATTCTTTTGGTTTGCCAAATCCGAACTGCCTTGCCTTCCGCTTGCAAATTTTGCACAGTGGTCTCATCGACCTTATTCGCCGCCGAACGTCAGTTAGATTTAAACTGCTGCTCGTTTTCCATGGATTTATTAGTTTTTTTGAGATTCCGTTTGACCAAGGCCCAACACCGTTCGATAGGGTGGAGTTCTTTGCGGTTGGGAGGGTTGTGGTCTTTGGGTACCACAACCACTCGATTGCCTTTTTCTCATAGTGGCAGCTCGCCAAGTACGGCCAGAACAGCACAGTTCTATTATGTTGCTTTAGGAATGGTAGTGGCCGGCGCCGGTGGTGTAGTGGTAATTTCTAACACCCCAATGGGTCTGGGTTCAATCCCAGCCGAGGTAGGTGGGATTTTTCTGAGGCATAAAAATCTCTGGTCACGTCTTCCTACGGAAGGGAAGTAAAGCCGTTGGTCCCGGCCCATGTGTGTTTGAATGGGTTCGATATCCTACGCAGGTGTAGAAGCTGCCTTCCTGCACATTCGATTACCGTCAATGGATGGCAATCGATGTCCGTCGGTGATTGGCACTAGATTGCGGAACAGAGACCGACGTTAAATAAAGGAAAAAAAAAAGAATGGTAGCAGCCGCTTTTCCAGGCACTCCTGGACGTAGATCTCTTGATAGATGGTTCCCGTAGTAATGAAAATGCCGCTTTTTAGACCTCACGTGCATATGGCCTGCCAGACGAGATATTTTTTCTGGAACTTCGATAGTTTGATGGTGTTGAAAATTTCAGCCACCTTCCCTTTTCCTGATGCGGTATAAAACTGCTGTCCCGGAAGCTGCTTGAAATCCGCCTTCACATAAGTTTCGACACAGTCGAACTTTGTGAGCAGATTCGGGACCGCTGCTTTGCCGACTCGTTTTAATCTTGGTTCGCCAAGATTCACCTTCTTAAACGTCGACAACCCGGCTCGTTTCTTGGCCCGCTGCACAGTAGTATGGGAGACATTGAGCTTGCCAGCGACATCCCGGATGGAGAGGTTAGGATTCCGCTTATATTTCACCGCCACCTTCTTCGTCGTCGCTGCCACGTCCGGATTACGATTGCCACCGCTTCCAGGCTTCCTGGCGGTCGGTAGACGCTCCCCGAACACTTTTAAAATGTTTGTCACGGTCGATTTGGCCACATCCTGCAATTTTGCCAACTTGGCGTGTGAGAACGTCGAATTCTCTTGCTGCGTGAGCAAAATTTTGATACGGTACTCCTCTTGCTTGGACGTCATTTTGAAAACTGGAGAGCAAATGGTGAAAACTCATCATAGCAACCATTGTATATACACTCAACTTCCAAATGCAGCATTCCAGTTTTTTTTTATGATTTTTTAATAGAAATACACCAATTTGAAGTTGACCAATTTTTGCGCGTTCCAGACTTTACTCACTTTACTAACTTGTCGTGCATTTGTCAAAGAGTTACAAAATATTCGTAGTCCCCGTTTTTTTATTCAAACATGAAATTCCTATAGATGTAATAAATTAAAATTGTGGAATCAACATCTAACCAAACAGGAACCATTGCAGATCAGAGAGGATGTCCGGATTTTGCAGCCGAAGGAAATTTTGGACCTGGCGAAAGAGGAACATTAGGCAAGATGCCAATCAACTATTGTGTTGGGTCGGGAGACGTTCGAATGATCTCAATATCTGGAGCAATTCAATCGCCAGCATTACTTTTCACCTCATATCAACAAGCAAGAAGGTAGATCTCTTTAAACTGATTATGTGATCGATGATATGTAGAAAGTTCGAATTAACTTTCATTTCAGGAGTACGAAAAATTCCCTGTCGGCACGTGGACTGATGAACCAATGTTCTCCATATGAAAAGTCTTAAAAATTAATGATAACTTTGCAATGATATAACTTTAATGATATTATTTTATCTTTTAATAAATATGTTGTTCACTTTTCTCACATTTTTTATATGTCAGTTCGAATTACTCATTTTAAATACTGATGTATTTTACAAGAACTGAGTTACAATCACTTAATTATGCTAATTTCCCGAAAACCGGAACTGAGTAGAAGTTACTCTGAATTTGACAAATGCATCCATTACTCAAAAGTGACTAACTTGGGTTTACTTATATTAGAGTAGTTCCACTTTTATCGAAAGTGAGTGGATTTCTACTCACTTTAGAGTAAAAATTAATGAGCGTGTGGTTGAAATTTTCATTTACAAAATTCTCATGTACATTGGAACAATAAATAAAAGCGATTATTTCAATAAAACTAACTGGATTCATGATTAAATCTTCAGCAAAGTTGTTGCTCATTATTTGATCTACAAGTTTTGAAAATCTGAATCAAATCGAAAATAAGGAAACTTTTTATGGTTGATAGAGTGTAGGAGTGTCGATAAAATGTATTTTATCCAAATTCCCCATACAAAATTCAAAGTTAAAGCGCCAGCGCATTCACAACCAAATGAGCTAAAACTATCAACGAATGGTGTTCTCACCTACAGGCACAAATCTAAAAAGTAGTTAAAAGATCTTCAATGAAGTTTAGAGAACTTCTAAAAACAATTAAGGAAGTCTTGATAATGATGATTTGATTTCTTTATTCATCTCTGACAGTAAGTATTGAAAAATCTTAGGAAATTGCCATTAAGATTTACGAAAATTACAGGACATTTAATGAAATTCGAAAACAACAAGAAGTTCAGGAAACCTCATAATAATATGGCAGTGCAGGACACTACGTGAAAGTTTAGAAAGAGCTGTAAAAGTTCAAGATAGGCTCACTTTAAACGTTTGAATTAAAGTTGAAGTGAATTTGGGACAGGTTTTATTATACATTTATCGTAACAACCCTGAAAATGACAGCAACCGGCGATTGCTGCTTATTAAAAACAATATGAGTTTAACCCATGGTAGACGGTTTGACAGTTCGATAGGATGATTTGACTTCACTCTTTGCGTGACTCTTATACACCGATTCTAACTAATTTTTTTACCTACAGTTACAGTTCAAAAAATGTTTTCCATGTTCGAAAATCCCTGTGCATCGATTTTTGAGCAGAAGTTAGTCATGGATGCCAAAACCTAACTTCTTCTGTCAAAATCGATAACTTTCTGTCACTTTTAACTACTAGCTAAATTTAACCAGCCAATCGGAACACAGCCTTAGAGGATTAACAACTCCCACTCCATGACTGGGCAAACAGGTCGGGTGCGGCACTACTCCGTCGTACTTCACTTCATTTCGGCACACCCCTCTTAAGCGAACCCCACACGTATCAATATATTGACGCGGAGGGGAATTATTGACAATTATATTGATGATGTGAATACAGAACTATTGTCAATACCGATGTATATATTATATATATATTATATACGATTATTGTCAATAAAAACAATCGTGTAGGGTCCACTTTAAATCGCTAAATTTACCCGTGAGCAGTGTTGGAAATATCGCCAAAAATTCATTATCGTTAGCGTTTTCACTAGGGAACTTATCGATGGGAATTTCGTAAAGCGTTATTTCCCGAGCGAACTTTCTTGTTTGAGATTGAGAGGAACTAATATCACACCCACTTTGACTCACCTGCAAGAGAGAGCGTATGTTAAAAGATATTGTTTTGCTCTAGCTTCCTTGCACAACTTTTCGTTCCCGATATGTGATGAAATAGATCGCGAAATATGCCTCGTGAACTTTTTATTGGTAACTCGTGAGCAGCCATTGAAGTTTGAATTGCTGTTATGATTAACGTAAAACAAGAGTTACAGAAAGTGAAAACCTTATAAATGTGTATTAAATGCATCCTAAATGTATACTTTCACCAATTATAACGCACGGGTAGCTCCAACATGTATGCAACCTAAATATCATCATGCAGAACACCTAATCTAGAAAAAGAAAACCTCAGCAGAGTCAACCTGGTCTATACAAGGTGATGAGATCTAGCCCTCACGTATGTGTTGGTAGAGGAAAAATGGTAAATATTGCAGGAGAGGCTGGTCACGACGTCATAACACTTGAAAGCAAATTTGCGAAACATGAAGTACAGCAAATCCTAGCTATGTTTGCATGATGATTGCGCTTGACTGTATTCTTTTGTAAATTCTCCGGGAAATATCAGCTGGCGTTTTGTATTTTTGAGATAACTCCTTTCTTGAAAACGGGCACAAACTCACCGGCAGGCTGCTTTTTCAAGGTATAGGGTTTTCGATCTAATTTCTATCATACTAATCACAACCCGCGCTTTACCTCTCTTTTCTAAACGAGTTTAAACAAAAAAAAACGAATATTTGTGTCAAAGATGACTTCTAAATTTATTCACCTTTCCATACGTACCGTTAGATTTGAAAAAGAGTGACAAATTGTTAAGATATTGTTTAAAATCTAAGGCTGCTTCTTGAATCTACATTCGTTCTACGAGTTTCAATTCCGTCCTAACGCATTGAAACGCCATTAGATTTTCTTCGTCCTACGGACAAACGTAGAAAAAGGGGATACGCTAGGAGCGCTTCTTTAATTTTTAGAATAATGAGCGTAAATATTCATACAATGCGCTCTAACAGGATTTATGTAGTAGCTAATGAACTAACGCATCGGAGCAAACCTAATATTGCTTTGTGCACGGTGAAATCATTGATATTATTGATATTTTCTGATCGATAGAACGAAGTAGCGTTCTACCCTACTGTTGGATAATACAATAAACAATAAAATATCTCAACATTCAGTAGAAGCACATGCATAAATTTTGGTTTCATACAGAAATTCTATAATCCATATTAAATTTCCTATTGAAACGCTGATTGAAACGAACGTTATGACGTCCCTACGAGAGTGTTTGAGCGTACGAAAGAAGCGAATCGTGCGAAGCAGCCAAGTGAAAAACGAACTACACCAATACATGAAGCCCGTCAATTCTAAAGCCCTACAGTAAAAGTATGGACGACTGTCACCACAAAACTGAAAAAAGCTGTTCCAATCGAGCAAAGCGGTGCATTTTGACGGTTCGATTGGAACAACTTTTGACAGACGTCCATACTTTTACTGTAGGGCTTTAGTCAATTCCACACCTTGTATAGACCAGGTTGCAGCAGAGTGGCAGAAATTAAGCGAGTTAATTTCATTCTACTCCGCGACAAAACATGACATAGGAGACAGGAACCTCAGCTAGCTTGTTTCTCGATTTTTTTGTGAAATAGGTTGAGAGAGCGAAATAGGAATTCTTTTTTTTTTAATCTTTTGCTGAACTGTTTCGCAATCTCGTTCGTGAACTTTTATTCTCATTTCGTTCGCGATTTCTGCATAGCTAGTTTCCAAGACTGCTCATACGCAAAGGATTTGATGCATAAATGTTGGATGTTGCCGCCAAAGTAGTGCTCCACCCTTTACTAGTAAGACTTTCTAGAGATAATATCTCTTTCTCGGCTAAAAATCTCATAAATAAACAATTTAAAAAATATATAATTCAACATATCTCTTTCGAGGGCATCGTAAAAGTTAAAAAGCAGAGAGGGGGCTATCAAAAATCAGAGTAAACCTCCATCTAAACAAAACCCTGAATACGGCTCTGCGCGGTAGGCAGAAATGGTAAGCGTTCAATCAACAAATGTGGAAGTGCTCACATTACTCAAGCTAAGGGAAGGCGTTCCAGTGGGTACGAACTCATATACCTATAGCATAATAAATTTTACTAGACCAAATAAGGAATCTTTCTTACCGTGTCCTGTTGATTCCGGTACAGCGAAATATTGAGCAAATTGTAAAGGTACTCCTCAAGCTGTCGCTTCCGTTCCGGGATGGCATCGAACGATACTAGAGAGTCTGGTTTCAGAGGAAACCTTGGCAAGGCACCTTTCTTCCGCTTCTTGTTCGGTTTCTCCAGTTTCCTCTGCATTGTAGGCTAAAACAAAAGTTTGTGTTTATGATTTCGCTATAAACAAAAAAAATCAACAAAGAAACGTGACTGATTACCGATGCCGTGCACTGATGCACATGGTGCATATTTCTGAAACTTGTTCGCCGCTCCTTGTGGCTTTTGGTGGGAAATGGAATATTCAATGAAGCTCGAAAGGTGGTCAACTGTTGGTGCAAATTTCGGAAATGGTTGTACCGCTTCTTTATCGTCCAAGTGAACTGGCCATGGGTGAATTTGATTGTGTATCTGTAATGTAGATTTCCAGTTGGATTTGCAACCCACATTCAACAAAGATAACATACGTACAAATTCGGATTTAAAATGTGTGCCGTCAAGCTACGCTCGTAGTCGACAATCTCCACGTTGATCTCCAGGCCAGGAATGAAAATGGTCCTATGCATCGAGGTGAACTTTGTCGGTGCGTTGTGAACATACGAGTAGGGAATTTCCGAATCCGGTACGATGCTTTCATGGTCGCCTTCTTTGCGTTGCACCAGCACTGGACCTTCGGCACCCATCGATACGATGGTGATCGAGTCGGAAAATCCCAAATTCTCGTCATACTCATCGGCTAGTGAGTAACATGCCAGGCTGGTGTCGATCGTATGATCAACATCTTCCATGCGGACCGTACTGGATGTGCCGTTGTCGTCGACGCTAAGCGCCCCGTTTGACGCTCCAACTTCGTGCAGTGACATTTCATCTGAAAGCAAAAAGGGTCGTTCTATATGAGTACGATTTATAAAAAAAAATATCAATGGTAAATTTAAACAATCCGCAAAGATGCGTAAATGCCATTCATAAAACGAAAATGAATCATACCTATCCCTATCAGACCAACCAGTTAAAGAGCAATTAAAACATTGCGCCTTGTTTGTTTTCTTCTTATCATGACTGAAGCGGAAGCCACGTGTTGTTGCATCCAAAGCTGTAAAATTCGAGCACCGCGAACGGACAAATTTATGTGACAGCATGTCTGTATAAATTGACACTGATTGTAATTATGCCACACAGCTGAACACACTCATTTGCTAGCTAATTTTGCGGAAGTATTATAATTTAGGTTACACAGTCGCCGTAAGTTTGGCTACAACGATAAAGCGAGGCTTACACCCAAAATACATGTCAGTTCTTTAATTGATGATACCCCGCAGGGCATATGGTAGTTTGGTCGATTGAACGTTTGGCTTAAAAGACGCTATATTCAAATTTACAGCCATTCCATAGCAAAACGATATAGTGGTTCTCAGAATTTCGCAAAATTTTGTAGTTTTGTTCTTATCGCAAAATATTAGACCCGTATTTTTTTTTTGTCATTAAAAGGGTGGTCCAAAAGATTGGTTTTTATTTTCAAAAATGACTTTTTCAAAAATTCATAACTTTTGAACCACTGGATCGTTTTTTTTTTTTTTATTTCTTCTTTCGGGAAGGGGAAAAGCCAAGGTGGAAATTCAAATTCGATACAAATTATATCCTTAACCTATACAACAATATTTCAATTTTCTTCTTGATTATTCATTTGTTTCCCTGGTCATATGCATTTATAGATAAACACAACAGACCTCTGACAGTCTCAAGTGACTGATGTTGAGGTCTTTCAATGACGGAATGTTTGCATTTGAGGTAATATAGAAAATTTAAACAATGTGCTCAAAATATATGCTTTTAAAGCTTTCTTAAATCCATAAGGAGGAACAATGGTCGAAATATTCGTTGGTAAATTATTGAAGTTGACTATTGCACTATACATACAACCTAATCTGACATAGTTGGTTGTTGGTGCTAATACACGATGGAAATCACGATTACTTTGTAAATTCAAACTATATTTATAAACAAACAAGACTGCTTCATAAAACTTGATTTGATTGAAATGCAACATGTGATTAGTCAAATACAGATCAGCAGTTCTTATTTCAGGATTATTATATTGCTCCCAGAATATTATACACATAAATTTGTTCAACGTGATTGAAAGTTTGCTTATGACATAAGCTGGAGCATTCTGCCAGATTATGTTCATGTATGTTAATTGAAAGTGAACATGTGAGTAGTACAAGCATTTCCTTTCTTTCGACGGGAGCATATAACTAGTTCTTCTCAGCATACCAAGGAATTTAACTATCTTTGAGTGGATACTTTCTACATGACTGTTCCATTTTAGATTTTGTTGAATCAATAATCCTAAATATGTATGAGTTTTTACTCTTTCTAACTGGTTTCTTCCCAAATAAAGATTTTGGTTTATGGAATTAAATCGATGCGTGCTTGAAAAGATCATAAACTTAGATTTTGTTGCATTTATGGTTAAACCACAGACAAACAGACGTAACTCTTTGAAAAAGTTTTTCTTGAAAACATAGTATCTCAAAACATAGGACCTCAGTAGTGACATCTTTCAGGCTTCTCGCGGAAAACAAGCTTGCTCGCTAACTCGCAAACAATATTGCATAAAAGTTCTATAGAATGTATAGAAACGTCAAAGTGATCCGATGCCAGCGCTGCGGCGAGTAGTTCGCGGAACTGATTATATTCAAATCAACCGTTAAATGCGTGAACGAAGATACACAATGAAGAGTTACGTCTGTTCGTCTGTGGTTAAACCGTTATTAAAAAAAACCAGCATATCGTCAAATAATTGTTCTACATTTTCAGCACTGTATACAAATACAGAATCATCTGCGTACATTTTTAGCGTACCTTTCAGAGGAAGCTCAAATATGTCATTAGCATAGATGATAAACAGAAGTGGTCCTAATATTGAACCTTGTGGTACTCCATAAAGAATCTTATGTTCATAACTACTGTGACCATCTAACTGAACTATGTGTTTCCTATCCTTCAAGTACGATTGAATCAAACTATGAGCATTTCCTCTGATTCCGTATCTAAACAACTTTAGTAGAAGCATATCATGCGGTACACAGTCAAATGCTTTAGAGACATCTACAAAAATTGCCGAGCATATTTTCTTCTGATCTATGTTCGTCTGAATATTAATTATCACACTAACTACAGCACTAGTGGTGTTTGCACGTGGCAGAAATCCGAATTGATTATTTCTAATCAAATTATTGCTAACAAAAAAATCAAGCAGCCTAATATGAATAAGTTTTTCGAACGGCTTGGACAAATTGGGGAGGATCGAAATCGGTCTATAATTTTCAATACTAGATTTCATGCCTTTTTTAAAGATGGGCGTGACATGTGCTTTTTTTAATTGTTCTGGAAACACTCCTTCTATCACTGAGCGGTTGAGCAAAGTAGTTAACATTGGAAGAATTGTATTAGCATTCTTTTTAACAAATTTGACTGGTATTAAATCTGCACCAGCAGAACATGAGCTTTTTATTTCTCGTACATAGTTTCTTAATTCATTGACCGAGGCCGGTAGTATCACGATCAGTGTTGGCAAAATCAGAAATCAATTGATATTTTCCGCTCTCATGCGATCGCAATACCACGCGTGATATTGGAACAAAATATCATGCTTGATATTGATTTTTCAAGCTCCTTTGATATTGCGAAACTATTCACAATGGTCAAAAATCAAGCTGAGAGTTGACATACTTCAAGTCTCCGCGTACATCGTACGGGTTAGGCAAAAGATGTGCGTTTGACTTTAAAAACTGTCGCATAAATGGCCCTTCGCTCATTTTCAACTTCATTTCAATTTTCATACTGCCGTTCTCTAACGGAACTATCCACCTACCCTCTTCTAAAGATCATTCTCTAGCTAATAAATTATCACACTAAAGCTTCGTGTTAGCATTTCCAACCAACTCTGAAAATTACGCATTTTCGTGCACAAAACGTACGGAATTTTTGGTTTATTCAATAGATAATAAAAAAGTGAAAATTTATTGGAGGCATTTCTTCAATACTGTTACGCATTTGACCACAAACGTTTCGTTGCTGGGTACATTTTTAAAGAGCTTTGGGGGTGATGTGGCTGGAAGCAAGGCGAGCGTACTCTTAAACAACAATAATTTATGGTGGTCCTGAAAAGGACCGTTTTATCGTGATGGCTGAATGATGAGGGTGACGCGCTTGGCATAGATGGCCCACAGCGACGCACAAAGAGCTAATGAATCTGATCAGTAGCTGTGCGGCTTCTTTTTCCTTCTTCGTTGAATGAACGGTCATGTGGGTTGCAGCTCGCTGCTTACGGGCAGCCTTTCATTATGTACTGGAGAACAATGTTCAACGACACGCGCCACAAACACTGCTGCTGATGATGACGACTGACCGGACACCACCGCAATTCGATTTTGAAATCTGTGTTAGGGAAAGCGCTTTTTGCAGGCAACCGGTGATAATTTTGATCACTATTGCAACAGTTGGACATTACACATTTGTGTAATGTTCAATAGCGACCTATTGAAAATTGATGAAGTTTTCATTTAAGCAGATTCGTAGAAAAATAATCAATCAGTTGGCTTGTTTAGAATTAAAATTCATACGCTATTGGCACAGTTATAAGTGATCAAAATCTGACCACTTTTCGTAATGATTTTGGTTTTTTTGAAATTGCACACCCAATATGTTGTCGAAAGACGTAATTCTACGTCAAAACACAAAAATAATACTGGTTTACAGCATATTATTATGACATATATTTTGAATATTTTCCTATGTTCTAAATGTATTTATTCTATGTGCACATTGCCATATTCCAATCCAGAAATTTTGAAAATTATAAATTAAAAGTTCTAGAATGGAATTATCTAACCCTGAGAATTATCTAACATGAGAATTTTCTTAAGTTTGAGATCGTTAAAATCCTTAAAAGATACGTTAAAGGTTCCTGCATTTCTAAGATGTACCCTAACATCTACGGAGTCCCTAAAGCTTTACAAAGATCCTTGATGCTACAGATAAGTCCCTGAACTTCAATTAATTTCTCAGAAATTCTTTGGAATTCTCTAAATTTTTATTACGTTAATGAAATATAAATAAAGTTTGATTAAGCTCTACAAAGTTATTTGAACTTCCACAAAATTTTCTGAACTGCTACATAGCTCTTCGATGATGTTCACTGAAGTTCTACGAAGTTTGCTCAACTTCTTCAAAATTTGCTGCACTTCTAGAAAGCTCACCTAACATTTACTCGGTTCCTTGAACTTCTTCTAAGTTCCTGAAACGTCTATGAAGTTTCATGAAGATCTACTACTTTCAGTTCTCAGATATCGAATGGTGTCTTAACTTCGTTTGTAAAGAATCAGTAATATAAGTCTTAAATAATGTTCACACTGTTGGGGTGAAAACATTTCTGAAGATTTTTATCTAAATACACCTGGCATCCCTGGTATGTTTTTCCTATTTTATTTAACATCGGTCTCTGTTCTGCAATCGAGTGTAAATCACCAGTACCGTACGCATTTCCCACCAAAAAATTCTGAGAGGCGGAAAAAATGCTCTAATGTTCCTTGAACATGTACAAAGTTCCCTAATCTTTACTTCTTAAAATTTTTCTCAACTTCTACAAAGTTTCATCAACTTCCACGAAGTTTCATCAACTTCTTCCATGTCTCAAAATCAATTTGACCTAGACCTCAGAACATCCATGACCTTCTCCAAACATCAGGAAAGACCTTGAACCGTTCGACGAATTTCCCTAAGATCCCAAAATTTCCAAGTCAAACCCTGAAGTTCTGAGGAAGAATGCTGAGCTTCTTCGAAATTTCCTGAAGTTCTACGAAG